TCGCAGATACTCTGTGCTGGTTATAATAACATATCCAGAGGCCTTACAGTCATACACTATCTAGAAGACTTCTTGTTGATCAAAGATAACATATTTTTCACTAGAAGCCTCACGGCTGCTTAGTCTGGTTGACCACTTTGGCGTCCCATGACCCCATAAGAAACAGAAGGCCCAGACACTATCATCACATTACTGGGCATACGACTTGAGTCGGCATCCATACACGCAAGTTACCACAAGACAAATGGGGAACATTCTCAACTACATCAATCACTACCTCCTGCTTAGTACTTACAACTGCAAGGAACTACAATCCCTACCAGGTTCCTTAATTTTGCCATGCCAATTATACCACAAGACTACGCTTTCACATACAGAGTACTTTCCCCTTTTTTCCACACTTCCAACATGACGATCAGAGGATGTCCCTAGACACCCCAGCAACAGCAGACCTGCACATGGGGGGAATTTCTTAACCACTTGGCATGGTAAAAGCATGTTCCTTCCAGGATTGTCTGACACTTCTCCAACCAGATGGTCAGACGCAGCGTTTACCATGGGTTTGGCAGTGATCTACGGGAACGATTGCTTTGGAGCTGCTGGCCATGGCATCCAGGTTTGGGAATTTTTTCACCACCTCAGCCCCTTTGGGGGATCTACCCCATTGTAGCAGCTGCTGTGGCATGGGGTAAATCATGGTCAGGGTCATCAATCCGTTGTTACTCAGACAACTAAGCACATGTCATATCATCAACAAGGTCCATAAGGTCATGCTATTTCTGGGGAACTCACTTGGTTGGCCACTTATCACATTTCTTTTACTTTCATGTACCAGGCGGGGGTATACATCCCTGTCGACAATTGTCTCATTTATATTCCAGGCATGTTCATCATACGCTTCCTACAGTCGCCCATACAGTCACGGCCACTCTTTCGTTCCACAGACAAAATCATGGATTAGACATACTCATGCAGTATAGCATGCACTATCCCACCTAGCACTTTCATCCCATACTTGTAGAACGCATAACACAGCTTTTCACCTGGCTTAAAGAATCTCATTGGAACACGAGATAGCTCAACCTGTGTCATAACATTTTCCTAGGTTTTGCTTCTTTTTGCCACCTTAAACTTAAACTATCTCACACACCATTAATTATATATTTTATAGGCATTCAACAACACAGGATAACCTATGGCCAAAACTACCATAACTTCATGCTATCATACCAGACAAGAATATACTCAGAGGTTTTCAGGAATCCATTCCCCCACGTTCCTCTCAGAGATTACCAATAGCCATCCAACTTTTCATCCTTATCAGACCTATTAGATCTACAACCATTCAATTATACTACCAAGTCGGCCATTACCAGCCATGCACATTGCCTTCTATGCTTTTCTCAGGCCAGAGAATCCACTACGATCACCACCACTCAGACAGATCATTGTCTTCAACGATCCGACGTACATAAACACATATATCATTACCTATTGGCTTTACCACATTCCAAAACGAGTCAACACGCACCAACAGTAGAGATAACATACTATCCTACCCACAACAAATGGTGTCCACTTTCGGTCCTAGATTCCTACCTTCAAAATCCTTCCAGGAATTAAATACTGTAATGCATTTAAGGAAATGTCTGATTAATTTGTATATATTTGTTGACTGTATTAAATCTTTGATTATTCATTTTTGCCCTCTTTATTTACAGGCCTACCGTATCGTCGGTCTCGGCACACCACAACCGACTTGCTCCCTTTATACTATCCTATGCTTATGCTGGATCCTTACTCCATATACGGCTATTTGCCCCTTACACAAATGTATGTGTATGTGTGTGTGTATGTATATATATATATATATATATATATATATAATGAGCACGTATTGGCCCTGTCTTGTTGCTAGTTGCATACTCATGCACAATAACATATTCAAAGTGAAGAGCGCACCCATAGAACTTCAAAATAAACCAGATCACTTCATTTTGTTTTAGTTGTGCAACTGCAGACATTCAGCATTTCAGTACCATTACTAATAGGCCAAAGTAGTTGTACTGAAACATTGATTACATGCAAATGTACGTCTACTTAAAATAAAGGCGCTCTTTTGTTTATTTTGAAGCCCTATATGCGTTCCTTCGTTGGAGTAAGAGTTTTCAATTTCAAGTTATTTTTTTACCCTCTTTATCAGCACACTATGCTGGCGCGACGCATTATAGGGCTGGTATAGAATTTTTTTCCAGGGCTGATTTTAGTTCCCAGTCCGTCCTAGTGAAGAGGGGGATGGGAAATAATAGGATCCGTCTGCCCTAAGGACGGGATATAGGGGGCGGGGACTGGAAGGGCGGTAGCGATGGGCGAGAGAGTTGGAGCAGGAACAACAGGGGTAGGGGCGACTCTCTTTTCTTTATGCCAGCTGCCAAGCCTCTGCCACTTTCGTCAACCCCTTATCGTGCAACAACCCTTCTTTCTCCGTCAACACTTTCCTCCAACATTTGGGCTGTAGCCAACCGCTGTGGAACATAACATTGCCACATACTTTGGCAATTTTCTTTATCTTATTCACTGCCTCCTCACCTGCTCTCTCTTTTACAATCTCACAGGCCAACTGGCCCTTAGGGGGCTTAACAAATTCCTGTCCCATTTACACCAAACAAGTCGTCACTTGATAGTGAAAATCGGAAAGGAAAAAATGTCTACAATCTATACTTTAAGCACAAATTAAATCTACACGCGTCTACCCAAAACGTAAATTAGCCACTAAATCCGCCCACCCAACCTAACCTACAAACACAAAACAAAGGTATACCAGATATCACACACATACTCAGTCACTTCTCATACAACGGAATTCCAACCGAACAACTTACCACCTTGCAATTTCAACGCACAATAAAATCTTCACAATCCCTGAACATAAATTAAAATCTGCAATCTCAACCTTTTATCACGCAATCAAACAAATGAATAAACAAGATATATGATATATAAAACAGCGGTCTCCACCCCTCGTCGGACGGTTAAGCAAACATTAACAATAACTGTAGACCTAGCAGTTCCTGCCCCTCACCGGACGATAGGCAAATATATAAAAAAAAAAAAAATCCTAACGTCCCGCCCTTCACCGGCGCCAAGCAAATATGAAGAAAATTTCAAAACCTAGCGTCCTGCCCTTCACTGGCGGAAAGCAAATATAAAGAAAATTTAAATCCTAAAACTAATGGCCTCCGACCTTCACAGGGCGGTAAACAAATACGAACAATAATCCTCTCACTCCCTTACAAAAAATACATGCACACTCAGGAAACAGATATTCAATCGACAGGTTCGTTATAAAGGGGACTCCGGGCAAGCTATTTACTTGTCTTTGATGCCCTCCGGTAGCCGATCGTGGACACGGAGTCAGGCCAATCGCAAAGACAGGAGATATACATAAGATGCTAATATGCTGTCATTACCGTATATTCAGAGATGATCAGGCTCCATCCCGTCTTTGGAGGTCCGTTCTCCGGTCCCGGTGATGGCCAACCGTTCGGGCAAAGCCGCAGAGGTCCCTGTTCGGGTGCCAAATGTTAAGGTTGAAATCAATTGTTTGATCATTTGAATATCTGCTCCTGTTCTGATTGGTTATATTGTGCGTGCACGCTTCCCAGCATAATTTACACCGCACACAAGTTTCTGGTCAATGGAAGACTTCAGGAATGCTTTATCCCGAGGGGGAAATACGTCATATGCATAGTAATAGGTAACAAAGAATATACATTCAACAACTGGTTACAAAGTTAAGGGGTTTTTCTTAGCACCATCCCACTGGGCGTGGCCCAACATCGTCATATAACATTCCTTTGTATCCCAGCACCATTTTGTTACACGTGGCGGTTTCGCTGACGGAAAGGATAACTTCTAGCGGTCATTTTAGATGCCTTCGAACAATACTGATTATTGGCTATACAGAGTAAATAGGCATTTTATCGATACAGATATTTTGTCCATATTAATAGAGTTCTGAATTCCACATATAATGCATTATGTATATTATACATAGAGCTCTGAATTACACATATAATGTATCATGTATATTATATATAGAGCTCATTATATATAGAGCTCTGAATTCCACATATAATGTATTATGTATATTATATATAGAGCTCTGAATTCCACATATAATGCATTATGTATATTATATATAGAGCTCTGAATTCCACATACAATGTATTATGTATATTATGTATAGGGCTCTGAATTCCACATATAATGTATTATGTATATTATACATAGGGCTCCACATATAATGTATTATGTATATTATATATAGAGCTCTCTATTCCACATATAATGTATTATGTATATTATATATAGGCCTCTGAATTCCACCTATAATGCATTATGTATATTATATATGGGGCGCTGAATTCCACATATAATGTATTATGTATATTATATATAGAGCTCTGAATTCCACATATAATGCATTATGTATATTATATATAGAGCTCTGAATTCCACATATAATGCATTATGTATATTATATATTTATATAGGGCTCTGAATTCCACATATAATGCATTATGTATAATATATATATAGCTCTGAATTCCACATATAATGCATTATGTATTTAATATATAGAGCTCTGAATTCCACATACAATGCATTATGTATATTATATATAGGGCTCTGAATTCCACATATAATGCATTATGTATATTATATATAGAACTCTGAATTCCACCTATAATGCATTATGTATATTATATATAGAGCTCTGAATTCCACATATAATGTATTATGTATATTTTATATAGAGCTCTAAATTCCACATATAATGTATTATGTATATTATATATAGGGCTCTGAATTCCGCATATAATACATTATGTATTTTATATATACGGCTCTGAATTCTTTTTTTAAAATTTGTTTATTTATTTATTTGTAGGTTCAGCATATGTAAAGTAGTAAGACTCGCAGGTCTAGTCATGTGTGTAATAAATGCATAACACAAGTAAGGAAAACTGGTGATCCATGAAAAAACATACATCTTGCAGGTCAATTGGCCGGCTTGTTTACGGGATAAGTGGACACGCAGGTCCGCATTGACTTTCAGAAAAGTGGATCTAGTTAATCCCGCCCCACAAAAGGGAACATATATGCTTTATTCTTTTATAACATTGAAAAACTCCAAGTATCAATCATAAGTGGGAGCTTGACATAATATGTAACTGATATTCAGTGCTCAGGGTCTAGAATTTCCCCGTGACTGTTACCTATGGCAGAGCTCGTGTTGTGTTCGGGAGTCCCTGCACCCAACTGTGGTGCCTGATTCCCTGTATCCGGTCATTGTGTGGTAAGTGTCGAGATTCTATTTTAGCATGAGTGTTACTCTTGTACGCGAAAAAGACGAGTTATGTGTCTATCTAAATGCCAGATGTCCGTCATGTTTGCTAATATTCCCATCTAAGCACCGGTTATCCAAAACACAGAGTGTCCTGAATCTCCGTGCCTTGTTTAAATGTCCGTGTGTTTGTCAGTATCTCTCTGTAAATGCACGTTTGTTCATCCCTAGTACCCTTCTGGTATATTGTGTAATTTGTCTGTCTCGTAATCAGTCCATCCGGGCCCCGGTATGCAAACAGAAGGGGAAAGGAAGAGGTTAGAAGCGGAAGGCAGTAGCGGTCAAGCCACTTGGGGTGTGATCTCTCCAGCAAGGCCTGCCCCAGCCTGCACCCCCGCCGCGGGCCCCAGCACGTCTCCATTCCTACGGGAAATGTATAGGAACCATGGCGTCCACATCTCCGCGTGCCTGGTTCCTCGTCCCGTCAAAGTAGCGTGTGCTTCTTCTGCTCCCTGGATCTCTTCTACTCTACGGATCCACTCTTTTTTGGTAGGAATTTCACTTTTTTCCAGTGGGCTGGAATGTTGGCCTTGGCGGCTTTAAGCAGGTGTCGTAATATCGATTTTCTTGTATGACGATATGGATTGTGTCGAGACGTGTAGCAATGCCAATTCCGCATTCCACTCTGGTAAGTCTCCCAGGATAAGCGCAACTGTTTCCTTAATAATTTCCCAGTATGGAGTGGTAACTCTGCATTCCCACCAGATGTGTAGCACTGTGCCGCGTGTTTCTTGGCATCTCCAGCACACCGGGGGAATCGAAGGGAATATGTGGTGCAGTAAAGTTGGTGTTCTATACCATAAGGAGATCAGTTTGTAGTTCATTTCCTGGTAGCATGAGCTCATAGAGCTCTTATGCTGCCAGAGCAACACCGTATCCCATTGCTGTGTTGTGAGTGATATTCCAAGTTGTTCTTCCCATTGCCGTTTGAACATTGTAGCCGTAGGCATACCTCCGATTAGTAGATGTTGATATAGTGCCGAGATTGCGTGTTCTATTGTGGTGCCTCGGTCGCAGAGGTCTTCAAACCACGTAAGGTCCCTGTGCAATCGATCCTTGTGCGGTTGCGAATCGTAGAAATGTTTCAGTTGTAGATATCTAAATTGGAGGAGAGGGGTCCGTGGTCTGTCACCCAACATCGAAGGAAGGTCCCGCAGTCTCCCGTCTTCGAGGGCCTTATGTATGGGTATGTATGCCCCAGTACCCTGTATGGGCAATGCTCCAGAAGGGAGTTCCCCCCCCCCATGGCTGTATTATGCGTAATCGGTATCATTGGGCTGGGTATGGGGGATACATGCTCTTGTGTTCTCAGCATTTTCCAGCCATGTAGGGTCTGTAGGATCAATCCTTCATCAGCAAGATGAGTAGGCGATCTTCCAGGGCTTCCCCAGATCTTCGCCTCCATCATTGGCCTGATGAGACCCCTGTTGAGCTCCACCCATTGTTTAGTCTTCTGTGCTAAGTGCCAATCCAGTATACGTTGCATGATCGTGGCCTGGTGGTATTTCCTAAAATCTGGTAATCCTAGGTTCTAGGTTGGCAGATGATGTTGTGTCGAATCCTAGATCTTCCTCCTCGCCAGATAAATTTAATCACCGCCGTTTTCAAGGCGGAGAAGAAAGCCGACGGTATTGCGAGAGGTATAGTCTGCATGAGATATAGGATCCTCGGGAGAATATTCATTTTAATCACTGCAATCCTCCCGTGCCATGTTACATGTGGGTATGACCATCTGGACAGGTCCGCGAGTACGTTCTTTAGTAAGGGCGTAAAATTATGTTAATATATGTCCCCCGGGGTCGTGGTCACCCAGATGCCCAGGTATTTCATCTTGTCGCGGCACCAGTGGAACGCAAATTCCGATTCCAAAGACCGGAACTCCTCTGTGGGGAGTGTTAAATTCAGGACCTCACATTTCGAAACGTTAAGCTTAAATCCAGATATCTGTCCGAATCTGTCAAATTCAGAGAGGAGACACGGTATTGTGATCCTGGGGTTGCAGACAAAGAAAAGGAGATCATCTGCGTACGCAGCCACTTTATGTTGTACTCCCTGCCAGTCATATCCCTGTATGTCCGGGTCTTGGCGGATTGCCTGTAGCAGTGGCTCCAAGGTCAGCGCAAACAACAATGGCAAGAGTGGGCATCCCATTGTTAATCGCGAAGTCCGTTGTCGTGGCCCCATTAATCCTCACAGATGCGCGTGGTTTGCTATAAATGGCAGATATCCACGTAAGGAGTCTCTGACCGCAGCCTAGCCGTCTCAGTGTCTCCAGCATGTATGTCCAGTTGACCCGGTCAAATGCTTTTTCCGCATCAGTCGATAGCAGGAGCCACCTGGTCCCCAATTTCCTCGCGTGGTGTTGGATAGAGAAAAGTCATAGGGTTCTGTCCCTAGCTTCCCGACCTGGGATGAATCCCGTTTGGTCCACGTGTATCAAGTTGGGAAGGAGATGTTTAATTCTGGTTGCTAAAACGTTCGTGAACAGTTTAGCGTCAACATTTAACAGTGAGATCGGTCGGTAACTGCTGCAGTGTAGTAGGTCCTTCCCTGGTTTAAGTAAGACTATAATGGTAGCTGCTAGGGATTCCCTACCCAGGTTCCCTCCCTCACCTACCGCGTTGAGTGCCTTGGTGAGCCAAGGCAGCAATACTCCCGAGAAGTTTTTATAATACCCCGTGGAAAAACCATCTGGGCCAGGAGCCTTGCCAGTTTTGAATGACTTAAGGGCTGCAGCTCGTGATCGGTGTGTCCAACAGTGTCGCCAAGTCCTGATTAATCATGTTTGTGACTGTGTTGGAGAGGAAGTCCTGTATTTTTGCGTGTTCTCTCGCGGCATCGGCGACCCCGCTAGGCGTGTACAAGTTATAGAGGTGCTCATAGAAAGACCGAAATTCCATTGCAATTTTCTGCGGGAAGGGGGAGACCTCCCCCGATGCCAGGCGAATCCTACGTATTTGCCTATGGGGCAAGGGGCCCTTTAGTAGTCTCGCCAGATATTTACCCCCTTTATTGGCGTGTATGTGGTAAAAGCCTTTCGTGCGTTGTATGGATCGGAGATGTCTTTTCAAAATAAGGTCTTTGAGTTTTCTTCTGTGTTCTATTAATTCTCCGTAAACTGCGTTTAGCTGGGAGCGTTTGTGTTGGCGTTCCAGGGTCGAAATCGATTGATATAGATCGACCATTTCATGCATGAATGCCTTCTGTTTCCGGGAAGCAATGCGTATGAGCACACCACGCATCACACTCTTGTGCAGTAGCATCTCTAGGATTAATTTTTCGGGGGGGGCACATGGAGGGCCAGGGACAAAAGTAGGGGGGCACATTTAACCCCGCCCTTGCTGCAGTTTGACCCCGCCCCTGTCGCAAGTTAAGAAACGCCCCC